GAGGGGTAGCCTTTTTGACGGTTTGGGGCGTCGAGCTAGTCTTAGAGGATGCTTTCAGCTTCTTAGCCATACTCCTTGTAACTAAGCCCACACTTGATGAATCCGAAGTAGCAGTCTTCATTGTGAACGTGTAGAGCAGTCACTGCAACACTTCGAGGATCTTCGAGAGAGAAGAGATGAGAGGTAGAGATGTCCCACTGGGCGTGCCAAAATTTGTAGCAACAAAATTCTTATCTGCGATTTAGACAAACAAGAAAAACTTGCACAAAAATAATTTATTGAATTAAAATAAAATATTGCGGGTTACAAACTCTAATTTAATCCTCTGATTCTTCTCTCAAGAACAATATGTGTTTGACTTTGAATTTCGGAGTCGGGTCGTTGACTTGATCTGATTTGGATTTGAATAACGTCTTCCGAGGGTCTTGCGACTTGAATCTCGGATCGAACGCTGAACTTTGACGGGTTTTGACTTGAAGATCTTGGAGTTCTTGATGGATTTGGCCCTTCAATCTTCCTTCGATCTTGATTTGTTGAAGAACGCCCTCGATGATGAAGAACGACTTGAATATTGTAGAGAGAATTTTCTCCTACGGTTTTTCTTCTTCTTGAGTTGTGTCCTGAATTGTGTAGGGAGGGTCCCTATTTATAGTGGTAGAATAAGAGTCCTACTTAAAGTCTACTTGATGACATGGCGCGATTTGATTGGCTCTCTTTAAATTGATATTTATCTCTTATAACTTGGAAGAGAAGAAACAATCATATTGGCCAATAATTAATTGATAATTATCTCCATGACTTATTTTCCAAGATAAATTATAATCTTGGGATTCAATTTAATATAATATAAACTATATTAAATTTGCGTGTCTACAAATGCCCCATCGAGACTTGTTCACGGACAATGCGTCTTGGAGTGAATGAGTCTCGATAATTGCTTAACTTCAATTGCAGTTTGATCTAGCAAAACACATACATCTTTTGAAATCATGACTGAACTTAGATAGAATCTAAGTTGCCTACGTACCCTATAGAGGGATCAAGTCATAACGTAGTTCAAAATATATCCTTTTGAGGGATGTCGTGCACAGCTTATACTCATGTGGACAAGGAGAAACATTTGCAGTTTAAACTCGTGCTGAAAGAGTATTTGACTTGGATTTGTAGATAGTTTATGCTCGTATCAAAGAGCCTTGACTTGATTTGAATATATAAATAGTTTATGCTCGTATCGAGGAGCCTTGACTTGATTTGGATATGTAGATAGTTTATGCTCGTATCAAGGAGTCTTGACATAATTTGGATATATAGATAGTTTATGCTCGTATCAAGGAGCCTTGACTTGATTTGGATATATAGATAGTTTATGCTCATATCAAGGAGCCTTGATTTGACTTGGATATGTAGATAGTTTATGCTCGTATCAAGGAGCTTTGATTTGATTTGAACTTGTAGACCTTTTAAACTCGTGTCAATGAGTGTTTCATTTGGACATGTAGACCTTTTAAACTCGTGTCAAGGAGTATTTCATTTGATTCAGACATGTAGACATTTTAATCTTGTGTCAAGGAGTATTTCATTTGATTTGGACATGTAGACCTTTTAAACTCGTGTCAAGGATTGTTTCATTTGATATGGACATGTAGACCTTTTAAACTCGTGTCAATGAGTACTTTATTTGATTTGAACATGTAGACCTTTTAAACTCGTGTCAAGGAGTGCTTCATTTGATTTGGACATATAGACCTTTTAAACTCGTGTCAAGGAGTGTTTTATTTGATTCGGACATGTAGACCTTTTAAACTCGTGTCAAGGAGTGTTTCATTTGATATGGACATGTAGACCTTTTAAACTCGTGTCAAGGAGTACTTCATTTGATTTGACTTGTCATATTGCATAGGATGTTGTTTCTTCAAAAGACCTGCCCCCATCCTCATGATCTTCTTGTTCTTCTTCAACATGTTCTCCTTTGAGCTGATATGACTTTTGGAATGAAGGTTCTTCGACTTCATTTGCAGTTATGCTCAATTCCATATCATGTGCTCGAGTGGCCAACTCTTCAAAACTTTTAGGTTGAATTCCTTGAAGGATATATCGGAGTCCCCATTGCATTCCTTGGATGCACAGTTCAATAGCTGATGTCTCAGGCAGTCGATCCTTGCAATTAAGACTCAAATTTCTCCAACGGTTGATGTAGTGGATGACAGGTTCCTTCTTCCATTGGCGGGAATTGGTGAGCTCAATCATGCTGACTGTTCTTCGAGTGCTGTAAAAGCGGTTGAGAAATTCTTCCTCAAAGTTCTTCCAGCTATCAATGAAGTTTGCCCCCAAATCAATGTACCAATCAAACGCGTTATCTTTGAGCGATCGGACGAATTGCTTGACGAGGTGATCTCCGTACGTCCCAGCATCATTGCAAGTCTCGACGAAGTGTGCCACATGTTGCTTCGGGTTGCCTTTGCCGTCAAATTGTTGAAACTTTGGAGGTATATAGCCCATTGGCATCCTTAGATCATCAATCCTTTGCGTGTATGGCTTGACATAGGTTGATGGAGTCTTCGAGCCTCCTTCCAACTTGTCTTTGATGGTTCCACTGATCAGCGTCATCACTTGATCTACATGAATCATCCCTTCTGGAGAAACTTGAAGTTCTTGAGCTAGAGCCTTCTCGTTTTCAACTGGTTGTTGCTTTGTGGATGCCTCGACTTCGTCTTGAGCCTCTATCTGTTCCACAATTTGACTAGCATCGGCTTTGTTCATCTTCTCGATCAACTTGGCAATTTGAGAATCTCGTTGTTGAACATGCTTTGTGAGTCCCTCAATAGCCTTGGTCAAACTTGCAATTTGCTCTTCCATAGTTGTAGCGTTTGTTGTC